TTTCTCCTTCACTTAAGCAAGTGTTTGTGAATACGGGTGTTTGGTAGATTTAAATAACAAATGACAATCTAAAAAATATTTGTAAAAACCACGAAATGCCCTTTTATTCTGTAACTTTAACAAATGCTCATAATATGTCATACTTATTAACAAGGGTGCTCGAACCACTCGAAATGAGCATGCTTATTATTAATTAGCAATGTTTCATTTATTAGCATCATCATCATCTCAGCCATAGGAGAGCCACTGCTGAACATAGGCCTCCCCCAATGCTCTCCATATTGCCCAAATGTCATATTGCAGTTTAAATATGCATGTTCTTTCAGGAAATGGGACGCCGGTAACGGTCCCGCCAAAGACGCGTACATTATTGGCGAAAACCCCCAGTTCTCATTGCACGTGCAAGGAAAAGGCGCTGTCTGGTTGCTGCTAACGAGACACATCACGCAGATAGACGACTTCCGTGACAATAAGGAGTATATCACGCTGCTCGTCTACAAGAACAACGGGAAGAGAGTGTACTACCCTTGTAAGTGACGTCATATTACAGTTCTTTTAGTCTCTATCAGCAAGTGTGTTGTTTGGTTGCTGCTTACAAGACACATCACGCAGACCGACGAGTTGCGTGACAATAAGGAGTATATCACGCTACTCGTCTACAAGAACAACGGGAAGAGAGTGTACTACCCTTGTGAGTGACGTCATTTCCAGTTCTTTTAGTCTCTAACAGCAAGTGCGTTGTTTGGTTGCTGCTTACAAAACACATCACGCAGATCGACGACTTCCGTGACAATAAGGAGTATATCACGCTGCTCGTCTACAAGAACAACGGGAAGAGAGTCTACTACCCCTGTAAGTGTCAACATTTGGCCTACACTCCCCACGTCTTTTGCCTCTGGCAATACAAATAAATTATACGATTTGTTACACTGGATGCGTTCTGTGGACTGTGGTCAAGTCAAAACGAACGCAGTTTGCGTTCTTTGCTCGTACCCGCCCTCACGATAAAATCGCATTGATACAAATTTTGTAGAGACCGATAATTTTGTTTATACATGATTCTGACTGCGTACAATTTTCCCTGAGTGCTGACCGCAGAACGCATCTAGTGTAGCAAATGCCTTAGGCTTCAGCTCTCCACTGCAGGCGGAACACCCTCTATACCAGGGTTTCCCATTTTTTTTTGCCAAGGAACCCTAATTGATTATACTTTTCCTAGCGGAACCCTACTTTGATAAATGGAAAACTTGAATGAAAAATTTAAATGAAAAACAAGAAAGTTTTTATGCAATTATTTGTAAACAAGTCGGTGCGCGCGAACAACGTCGGTCACGAAACGTGGGATAATATTTTTTACGGAACCCTTGCGGCATTTCCACGGAACCCCAGGGTTCCGCGGACCACCTTTCGGGAACCGCTGCTCTATACTATAGGGTAAATCGCGGATGGTTGGACCGACAAAGTTGTTCATACATGATGCGGACTGCATTCATTCACTTTGACCTGACTGCAGAACGCATCCAGTGTCAAAAAACCTTAAATTACCTGATTATGCGTTTATAATGATGATAATTTATGTTATTTTAGGCGAGCCGCCTCCATACATCGACGGCATCCGTATCAACAGCCCGCACTATCTGTGCAAGGTGATAGTTGGAGAGGGAAGCAGTGATCGATACACGCTGGTCAGTATTTTGGGAATATCGAATGAGAAACATTCGGCAATATTGCGTGAATATGGCAATATTGCGTGAATATGGTAATATTGCGTGAATATGGCAATATTCCCAATATTGTTATTTGAGAAAATTGTTGCCAAATATGAAATATAAAATAATAATTAATATAACAATAATAATTGCATGTTGTCGATTTATTAGGGTCTTAAACAAGTCGTATTTTTTGCACAGTGGCGTCTTATCTTGTTGTACAGTCAGCGTCAAATAGTTCGTAAACAACCAAAGTAGCCAAAAAGTTCACAACACGTCTTCGTCACAATTAGAATAATAAGGTTGTGTTATCAACGTTATTGTCACTTTGAGTGCCACGATTATTGTATTATTTTGAAATAAAAATAAATTGTCTGTCTCGACTGTACAGTTAGAATATTAAAGAAAACCTCAAAAAATTACATTTCCAATTAAGGTTTTCAGCCTTTTTATTTGTATTTAAATAATGAATAGCAAATCTCATACTATGTATTGTTAACTGCAATTTTTACCGTTTCATACAGGTGGTCTCACAGTACGAGAAAACCCGCACGATATTCTACACGTTGCGAGCGTACGCTACGTGTCCTTTCTCGCTCAACAAGATGGAGCCCTATCGCCATTTCAAGTCGGTGAGTTAACCCTTAATATACCCTTAAGCTTTTGCACGCGGCTTTACCCGCGTGATTTTTTTTTGTCACAGATCGTCATAAATTACAGCCTATATGTTATTCTGGGTTATAAACAATAATACTGTAAAGTTTCATCAAATTTCGTTCAGTAGTTTTTGCGTGAAAGAGTAACAAACATCCAGACAAACGTTCGCATTTATAACAAGTAGGATTAGTAGGATAAGCTAGCGACTCACTCTATCTTTTTCTGAAAACCGTGTTAAAATCCGTTGCGTAGTTTAACAGTCAAGATCTCGCTGACGTTCAGAAGTCGTCACATTAAAAACAGTTCTAAATCTGTATTTACAGGGTCATTTTTGATATAACGAAACGATTACTCGATAGGATCGCAACTCAGCGATTTGTTGTCATAGAAGTTTTGTTACGTTGTCCCATTGAAAAACAGTTCTAAATCCGTATTCACAAGGGTTATTTTCATAGAACGATTACTCGATAGGACCGCAACTCAGTGTTTTGTTGTCGTTGAAGTTTTGTTACGTGAATAAGACTACTGATCGCAGGAATGGATACTTGAATATTATTGTTTATTCATCTGCCGGGATAGGATGCGCGCCGTGATAAAATCGTATCGATGATATTTGACGACAAATGTATGGGCTTATCGCGTGAAATCTGTAAAATGGTGCTATAAAAACTTATCGCGGCGCGCATTGTAACTCTAAAAAATATCATCTAAGCTATTAATATAACGTTAGGGAGTTAAAAATGAACTTAACGCGGGCATAGCCGCAGGCAAAAACTGTTACATAAATGGACCTTGTTATGTTGTCTTTGTATTTGTTTTGAATTGTGTTCTGTGGTTGTATCTTTAGATAAAGAAATAAATTGTATTTCAACAGCTAAAAGGAGACTGGACGGCTCGCACAGCAGGCGGCTGCGAAAACAACAGACAAACTTACCCCAACAACCCCAAGTTTGTGGTCACAGTGCCCGATACCAGGGTCCCGTGTCACGTGGTCATTGAGTTGAGAGGACCCAAGCAGTACCAGATGGGAATGGACGTTAGGGTCGAATCGCTGGATGACCCTAACGTTACTGCGCCGTTCTTCAAGGAAACTTCTGGACCGTACAGGTGAGTTTGTTACCAAAAACTCATTCTAGCCAAGTTTGTGGTCACAGTGCCCGATACCAGGGTCCCGTGTCACGTGGTCATTGAGCTAAGGGGACCCAAGCAGTACCAGATGGGAATGGACGTTAGGGTCGAATCGCTGGATGACCCTAACGTTACTGCGCCGTTCTTCAAGGAAACTTCTGGACCGTACAGGTGAGTTTGTTACTAAGAACTCGTTCTATCTCCCAAGTACAAAGTCACAGTGCCCGATACCAGGGTCCCGTGTCACGTGGTCATTGAGTTGAGGGGACCCAAGCAGTACCAGATGGGAATGGACGTTAGGGTCGAATCGCTGGATGACCCTAACGTTACTGCGCCGTTCTTCAAGGAAACTTCTGGACCGTACAGGTGAGTTTGTTACCAAGAACTCGTTCTAGTCACCACGTTTGTGGTCACAGTGCCGACACCAGGATCCCGTGTCACGTGGTTCAAGCAATACCAGTGAACGTTCTGTCAAATTACTTGACAGCCATAGTTACTGCAAAAAAAAAAATCTTTAAAGAACGTTTAAAGAATTTTCTAGACCCTACCATAGTGACATAGTTTATTTTTATAGCTTTTCTTAACGGGACTATTCCCACTCCTCGTTCCCACCGCTGCAACTCCTGTGTAGCCAAGATCTACAGCTTGACCGCCATAAAAACCCAACCAGTGAAGGTCAAGTTTGTCCCGGGGGAAAGTTAATCTGTCATTGGACCCGCAATGAAATTAATCAGAAGATAATATTTTTGTAGGCTTAAGTTCATACTTATGTAGAAAATAATCACGCTCAAGCTAAAAATCTCAATTCATAAACCGGGAGCTGGCATCCTCTTCTTGATGTTCTAAAGCCCGGTCTCCGAGCACGTAGAATTTTGTCCAATGACCCCAAGCTACCCATCTTTATCGCTCGCGCGTAATTATGTTGCTGTCGCGCTCGCACACTCACTGCGGGCGCCCGTCGCACAGTCGCGTCAGCAATATAATAACGCGTGACCGATAAGGATGGGTAGCTTGGGGTCATTGGACGAAATTCTATGTGCTCGGCGACCAGACTATACAGAACAATATAAAGACTTAGTTAACTTTTTTTTTCGCAGATCGGGCTTCGTAGTCCTGGAATTGAACAATTTGCCTGCAGGCCGGTACATTGTCACACCATCCACTTTCTACGCGGGTCAAGAGGGCCCATTCTTTTTGCAATTCCGGTCCACTTGCGAGTTACACTGCGAGGCGCGCAACTAGCGACCTATGGGCAGGAGGAGGGAACACGCTTGTCATTTGAGACAAAATAACGGGTAACGTTACTGGGTAACGGATAACGTTGTAGAATAACGGTAAATGCAGGCTTAGGCCACGGTAACTTAGGCAGCGCCTTATCAAGGACACCATGAAGATTATTAATGAAGTTATTATTTTTGAATTTAATAGTTGACCAATATTATTTGCTACTAGCGGCCGCCCGCGACTTCGTACGCGTGGATCCCGTTTTACCCCCTTNGTTATCAGAGCGTGAAACTCCTCAAGCTGAAGAACCCTTGGTCCCACTTACGTTGGCGCGGGAACTACTCCGAGTTGGACACAGTGCATTGGACGCCAAACCTTAGAGGTCTTCTCAACTACGACCCAGAAAGCGCGGCGCAGTACGACAACGGCGTATTCTGGATTGATTACACGAGTATTCTGGAGTTTTTCGATGTATTCTACTTGAATTGGAACCCGGAGCTGTTTAAATTCACCTATTGTATTCACCAGTGAGTATACGTTTTTACTTTATTTTAAAACTAGCTGACCCGGCGAACTTTGTTCCGCCTTAATGGCAATAAATAAGCTGACTTTTTTTTTATTTCGAACGGGATAAAAAGTATCGTATGTCCTTCTCCTGGCTCTAAACTACCTCCCTGACAATTTTCAGCTAAATCGGTTTAGCCGTTCTTGAGTTATAAGTGAAGTAACTAACACGACTTTCTTTTATATATATAGATTCTGCAATCTGTCGCCCGTATTCACAAACATTACTATGAGGTCTCACAGTGCGCGTGAACGCACAGGGTGACACGTGAACCAATCACAGAGCTCTATTCACTTTCTGCTTCACTTAAGCAAGTGTTTGTGAATACGGGCGTATATCTTTGGTAGATTTAAATAACAAATAGTGACAATCTAAAAAATATTATGTAAAAAAATACGAAATGCCCTTTTATTCTGTAACTTTAACTCATGCTCATTATGTCATACTTATTAACAAGGGTGCTCGAACCACTCGAAATGAGCATGCTTATTATTAATTAGCAATGTTTCATTTATATAGCATAGCATCATCATCATCTCAGCCATAGGACGTCCACTGCTGAACATAGGCCTCCCCCAATGCTCTCCATATTGCCCAAATGTCATATTGCAGTTTAAATATGCATGTTCTTTCAGGAAATGGGACGCCGGTAATGGTCCCGCCAAAGACGCGTACATTATTGGCGAAAACCCTCAGTTCTCGTTGCACGTGCAAGGAAAAGGCGCTGTCTGGTTACTGCTTACGAGACACATCACGCAGATAGACGACTTCCGTGACAATAAGGAGTATATCACGCTGCTCGTCTACAAGAACAACGGGAAGAGAGTGTACTACCCTTGTAAGTGAAGTCATATTCACACTCTACATGTATAGGGTAAATCGTGATTGGATGAGATATTTATTTTCGCCGTGAGCATACTGCCTGCAGTCGAGATTAAAGGATTTGACATACTAAATGCGGTCTGCGGTTAGGTCAAAGTGAATGCAGCTCGCATCCATGTATGAAAAACATTATCGATCAGGGCAATCTGTCAGTGGTTGTGACAAAACAATCTGTCAGCGGTGCGGTTTGCGTTCTTTGCTCTTGAGGTCAGATAGCATTGATGCAAAATGTATAGAGACAAAGTTGTTCATACATGATGCGAAAACTTCAACGACATGCAAGTGATTTGGTAGCTGGATTCTCGCGATTTGATAGAATCGCAATTCAGCAAATTGTCATTTTTGACGTTTTCACTGGCATCCGATTAAACCAAATTTCAAAATATAGGTGAATCCCGCGGAGGCACGATCGAATACGCATAAAAACGAAATCGAAACAAAATCGGGAGATTGATACGTAAATACAAAAAGTGACACCTGTGATCAAATCGCTTACATGTCGTTGAAGTTTTGATACGTGAATTAGGCTACAGAACGCATCTAGTGTGAGAAAACCTTAAATTACCTGATTATGCGTTTATAATGATGATAATTTATGTTATTTTAGGCGAGCCGCCTCCATACATCGACGGCATCCGTATCAACAGCCCGCACTATCTGTGCAAGGTGATAGTTGGAGAGGGAAGCAGTGATCGATACACGCTGGTCAGTATTTTGGGAATATCGAATGAGAAACATTCGGCAATATCGCTTGAATATGGCGATATTGCGTGAATATGGTAATATTGCGTGAATATGGCAATATTCCCAATATTGTTATTTGAGAAAATTGTTGCCAAATATGAAATATAAAATAATAATTAATATAACAATAATAATTGCATGTTGTCGATTTATTAGGGTCTTAAACAAGTCGTATTTTTTGCACAGTGGCGTCTTATCTTGTTGTACAGTCAGCGTCAAATAGTTCGTAAACAACCAAAGTAGCCAAAAAGTTCACAACACGTCTTCGTCACAATTAGAATAAGGTTGTGTTATCAACGTTTTGGTCACTTTGAGTGCCACGATTATTGTATTATTTTGAAATAAAAATAAATTGTCTGTCTCGACTGTACAGTTAGAATATTAAAGAAAACTCAATTAAGGTTTTCACCCTTTTTATTTGTATTTAAATAATGAATAGCAAATCTCATACTATGTATTGTTAACTGCAATTTTTACCGTTTGATACAGGTGGTCTCACAGTACGAGAAAACCCGCACGATATTCTACACGTTGCGAGCGTACGCTACGTGTCCTTTCTCGCTTAACAAGATGGAGCCCTATCGCCATTTCAAATCTGTGAGTTAATCCTTAATATTGTATTACTAGCTTTTGCCCGCGGCTTTACCCGCGTGAATTTTTTTGTCACAGATCGTCATAATTTACAGCCTATATGTTATTCTGGGTTATAAACAATAATACTGTAAAGTTTCATCAAAATCCGTTCAGTACTTTCTGCGTGAAAGAGTAACAAACACCCAGACAAACTTTCGCATTTATAACAAGTAGGATTAGTAGGATAAACTAGCGACTCACTCTACCTTTTTCTCAAAACCGTGTTAAAATCCGTTGCGTAGTTTAACAGTCAAGATCTCGCTGACGCGGACGTTCAGAAGTCGTCACATTAAAAACAGTTCTAAATCTGTATTTACAGGGTCATTTTTGATATAACGAAACGATTACTCGATAGGATCGCAACTCAGCGATTTGTTGTCATAGAAGTTTTGTTACGTTGTCCCATTGAAAAACAGTTCTAAATCCGTATTCACAAGGGTCATTTTGATAGAACGATTACTCGATAGGACCGCAACTCAGTGTTTTGTTGTCGTTGAAGTTTTGTTACGTGAATAAGACTGATCGCAGGGAAGGATACTTGAATATAATTGTTTATTCATCTGCCGGGATAGGATGCGCGCCGTGATAAAATCGTATCGATGATATTTGACGACAAATGTATGGGCTTATCGCGTGAAATCTGTAAAATGGTGCTATAAAAACTTATCGCGGCACGCATTGTAACCCTAAAAAATATCATCTAAGCTATAATATACCGTTAGGGAGTTCAAACTGAACTTAACGCGGGCAAAGCCGCAGGCAAAAACTGTTACATAAATGGTAATCCAAGGGCATATTAACTAGTATAACAATGATATTATTTAAATGTGAAACCTTGTTATGTTATCTTTGTATTTGTTTTGAATTGTATTCTATGGTTGTGCCTTTACATAAAGAATTAAATTGTATTTCAACAGCTAAAAGGAGATTGGACGGCTCGCACAGCAGGCGGCTGCGAAAACAACAGACAAACTTACCCCAACAACCCCAAGTTTGTGGTCACAGTGCCCGATACCAGGGTCCCGTGTCACGTGGTCATTGAGTTGAGGGGACCCAAGCAGTATCAGATGGGAATGGACGTTAGAGTCGAATCGCTGGATGACCCTAACGTTACCGCGCCGTTCTTCAAGGAAACTTCTGGCCCGTATAGGTGAGTTTGTTACTAAGAACTCGTTCTATCTCCCAAGTACAAAGTCACAGTGCCCGATACCAGGGTCCCGTGTCACGTGGTCATTGAGCTGAGGGGACCCAAGCAGTATCAGATGGGAATGGACGTTAGGGTCGAATCGCTGGATGACCCTAACGTTACTGCGCCGTTCTTCAAGGAAACTTCTGGCCCGTATAGGTTAGTTTGTTACTAAGAACTCGTTCTAGCCAAGTTTGTGGTCACAGTCCTTGACACTACGGTCCCGTGTCACGTGGTCCAAGCAATACAAGTGGACGTTCTGTCAAATTACTTGATAACTCTAGTTACTGCAAAAAAATCTTTAAAGAACGTTTAAAGAATTTCCTAGACCCTACCATAGTGACATATAGTTTATTTTTATTGCTTTTCTTAACGGGACTATTCCTACCTCTCGTTCCCATTGCTGCAACTCCTGTGTAGCCAGGATCTACAGCTTGACCGCCCCAAAAACCCAACCAGTGAAGGTCAAGTTTGTCCCGGGGATAGTTAAGCTGTCATTGCACCCGCAATGAAATTAATCAGAAGAACATATTTTTATAGGCTTAAGTCCATACTTATGTAGAAGATAATCACGCTAGCATCCTTTTCTTGATGTTCTAAAGTCCAGTCTTAGAGCACGTAGAATTTTGTCCAATGACCCCAAGCTACCCATCTTTATCGCTCGCGCGTAATTATGTTGCTGTCGCGCTCGCACACTCACTTCGGGCGCCCGTCGCACAGTCGCGACAGCAATATAATAACGCGTGAGCGATAAGGATGGGTAGCTTGGGGTCATTGGACGAAATTCTATGTGCTCGGCGACCAGACTAATACAGAACAATATAAAGACTTAGTTTACCTTTTTTTCGCAGATCGGGCTTTGTAGTCCTAGAATTGAACAATTTGCCTGCAGGCCGGTACATTGTCACACCATCCACTTTCTACGCGGGTCAAGAGGGCCCCTTCTTTTTGCAATTCCGGTCCACTTGCGAGTTACAATGCGAGGCGCGCAACTAGCGACCTGTGGGCAGGAGGAGGGAACACGCTTGTCATTTGAGACAAAATAACGGGTAACGTTACTGGGTAACGGATACCGTTGTAGTATAACGGTAAATGCAGGCTTAGGCAGCGCCTTATCAAGGACACCATGAAGATTATTAATGAAGTTATTATTTTTGAATTTAATAGTTGACCAATATTATTTGCTATAATTGAATTTTGTTTACACTAAGTTTTTGGCTTTTGTTTATCATATCTGTATATGGATAAATCAGTTAAATTTTTAAACCAATGTTTTTTTAATAATTATGGTCTGACATGAAATGAGACACTAAAGATATGAATAATGATCTCTTTCTGATTTTACCATAGATCTGTAATTTTATTAATTATTGTAATAATCACATGTTATGTTAATAACTCAAAATTAAATTTTTGCTATTCTCTGTTGTTAGTTAAGGAAATTAATTATGTAAAGCTTGTAAATCAGATTTGAGGGACCCATTTTATTAATTAAAAATTAAGTTTTTGTTTAATTTAAAGATATTATGACTCGTTATGTATAATAAATATAAATATATTGTTCTCATGAATTAACACGCTTCCGCATTTGTTTCCATTTGACTAATTTGAAAATGTTAGAATTAGATTTGTTTTTTTTTTTATTTTCAGCAATAAATCTTGTAATTTTATGGCACTGCTTGTATACATTATTTGCACTATAATACTGGCATAAAACTAAAAATAAGGTCACAAATAATAGTTGCCTTTTAAAAAGAAAAACTATTCGATCATTCCATATTCAAACAGGGGTTTTTCCTTTGCTCTGATTGGTTCAGAAACAAAACACGTCTATGCATGCATGCAAATCTATCTAATTGCATAAATGCAGATTTATTCGGTTTCTTGTGTCGTGCACGACTGTACTAAAGTTGCGTCCTGTCTTATAGCGGATTTGTTAAGAAATGCCCGGGAAAAATGACGAAATTTTATGTGACAGTAAAGACGATATTGCTTTAACAAAATATTTTAATGTTTTCATACTAAACTCACTAAACCGTCTTTAACGAACATGTAACTTTTATTGGTAAAACTGTTCAGAAAAAGTACGTATTTATTTAATAATGGGTTGCACCATAGCCAATGGTAAACACTATGGCACCTTAGTACTTGTAATAGGCATCTATTTGTTTTGCAAGCAAAATGTAGTGCAGTCTAATGTATCGCTATACAAAATATTTAAACATACACTCGACATCAAATAAATCGCACCTCCCGCGACAAGCATTTTCAAAAGTATGCATCCCCACTTCCCACCAATATTGGCACCATTTAAAAGCCTAGTTCTAAACTTCATTTCTTCAACGGAATGGTTTTTACCCCAAAAATGTGTCTTTAGAAGGATCCAGAGTCACTTCTTTAAAAAATAGGTAGTTACGCTTGAGCCAACTTTTATGGCTATAAAACTGTTAAGTTGGGATTAAACGCTATCCATCTGTTAAAAAGGACACGTGAGTTCATTATTTGGTTTTATAACCATAAAAATTGGTCTAATTGATCCCAGAGGGGAGCCCAAAGTGAGGTCTTTTTTCAAGTCACATTTATAGGTATATGTTAATCATTTATTAATAAATTAAATGTGTTTTTCTTTAAGGATATTTATTGGGCTTTCAAATAACACCAATATTGTTGGGGCACCATGATTGTGTCAGAAGAAAATCTGTAAAGTTCGCGTCGCGGAAGGTGCGGTTTATTTGATGTTGAGTATATTTACCGCCTTTACCATTTATTTGTTGTTGACTTTATTTTTTATAGTTTTTTAATAGTTTTTGTAATTGGTAAAAGTAACCGCTGTAAGTGAGGACCCACCCTTTTCTGCCCTGGGCTTTCAGTTGTGTGTTTCGCAGGTTTTCTCGTCGCACTGCGCTGTGATAGTTAGTTGTAAGCTCACAGTTTGGATGTTGTTGAATCGAATTTTTATAGAAGGATAATATATTTTTGGTAAAGTATTTATGTGGTTTAATTTTTTTTATCAATTCAGGACAGTTGTTAAGTAGTTAATTAAATTTTGACTTAAGTGATTAATTGCCTTAGACACCCCGCAGAATATGCTTTTAGTCGTCCGACAGTTTGGTCGGCTTCCCATTTGTTAAGGAACCGGCTGACACCAAATCGGTGTAAAGTGCTCACTTCCATACATTTTCATACTGATCAACAGCCCGAACAAACTATTGGCCAACTTTTTAGTGCTAAATTACGGATTTTATGATTGAAAGTACTAAATAGGTAGTTTTTGCTTTCACATGTAATAAATTGAATCAATATTCAATCAATATCATCATCATCATTTCAGCCATAGGACGTCCACTGCAGAACATAGGCCTCCCCCGTTGATTTTCACAATGGCCGGTTGGTGGCGGCCTGCATCCAGCGCCTTCCCGCTACCTTTATGAGGTCGTCGGTCCAATATTCAATATTAAGTAGAAATTATTATGAGAATTCATACCGTGATCTCAATAAACTATGCAATGTCACATTCAATAAAGTATTTGGTGGGCTCGGCTGGAACAAATGCCAGCAATTTGCTGTACACACATCCGAAGATCAAATACTCGTTAAGCATGCAGTGGATGAGGAATGTCGACTCTATGACTTGGTGATAAGAAGCTAAGTTACTCGCGCGATCTTGGCCCTTTATTCTGTCATTATGTGGTGGAAGGTATAGGCGAAGAGCGATTTTTTTATATGCATAAACATCGCTTATGTCTAGAGTTGGAATTACGTAATTTTTGTATCTCGTCTTGAATTTGAGTGGATATTGGCAAATCCCATTAATTAATTATGTAGGTAGTCAATTAAATGAATCGACCATTATAGATAGATTCGATTTCGTGGTCGCTTTGCTATTTAGATTATCTACAGGTAAACAACAGTGTTGTTATTGCAAGCCAATTCAATCACCGTTAGGTTCTTCATTTCATGAATCGTTAACAACTTTGAAAACCCAAACTCGATAAAAGTTGTCCGGGTCTACTTTGAAAACGATGTCCATACGTCGACTATCTGCGTCTCTCATACACTTCAGTGTCCCATGATGAGTGACAACGACGGATAGATTTGAAATGGAAATCTATTTGTGGATACGAGTACGTCAACTAAGTATCTGGCTCTCTCTCACACTCCAGTAACCCATGATGAGTGACAGTGACGGATAGATATGAATGGAAATCGATTTTATGTGGGGTAGGTAAGTAATCACTCATGACTTGTGCGCCGCGTGAATGTTTTATAAGGGTGTGCTTCAAAATTTAATTTTGCTCGCTGTGTGCGATTGCGTTCGTTGTTTTTTAGAGCCTAATTCCGGAAATGTGTCAAGGTTTCACGCATGTCTATTCACAATAGGTAGGTACTTCTTATAGGTCATATCCTGGTACTTTTGTTACAGTTGGTAAAGTAAAATGATTTTTTATTTTTTTAAAGATTATTAGTTAAATTGGTAAAGTAAAATGATTTTTTATTTTTTAAATATTATTAGTTAATTTGTATTGTACAAAATACTAATTGTCCCGTTAGCCCCTCGTGGTAAGCTAAATAGGTATGTTTGTGTTACGAGTGGCCACAAACAATAGTCGAGCGGCGCGTGGGATTCGAACCCGCGTTCCTCGGATCTCGAGTCGGCCAGTCTGACCTCTTCACCGTTCGGCTATTGCAAAATAAGATAGGTCAGCCGGCCTAAGACACATTCGTTGTTCTTACGAAAGGGCAGGCTTCTAGAAAAACCAAAAGCTATTCCCGCTAAAAAGGTGTTATCGCGAAACAGACTGAATGTAAAGTTGCCAGAGAATTAAATTTTTAACGGCACTGTTCGTCTAAATTAGGTAAACATTAAAAAATCGCTAATCTAATTCTTTAGACTTTGACAAATCACGCCAAAAAAGAGGGCGGGTTGTTTATAAAAACCTAATTGCGTGTAAAAGCTTCCCCAAAACAAATTTGTCTTCTCGTATTTTCGCTATGCAGATTTAATTAATTTTGATGGATATGCGCCGCCCTCCGCTGCCGAAAATGGTTTAGAACTTACCTATCGACCAGGCAAGATGGTTATTATAGCACCTAGGTATACCTAGGTAGAGTTAAGAATGTCAAAGGATCTAGTACGAAACGACGATCTAGTACGAGCTAGTACGAAAAACTTTCGAGTTCGAATCGTTTGCGAATTCGAATTGCCATCAAAAGATTTAGTACGAAAACTACAACAGCGCCCTTGTGAACGTGTTGTAAAGTGAACTTAGTATGAGAAAAGGTTGCACGAAACTTATTTTGAGAATCAAAATTGTCACGTTATCGTTTAATTCGAAGGTTGAGTATCGAATTTTGTCGAATACACAAACGATTCGAAGACGAAAGTTGTTCATGCTAGAGGTATTGGTGAAGGTCGCGGGAAGCACCTGGATGCGGGCAGCCCAGGAGCGGTCGTTGTGGAAATCGAAGGTCCTGTACTAATAAATGTAATATGTCGGCCGTTTGGTGTAGTGGTTCAGAACCAGCGTTGCCAGTTTTTTTTTTCGCCAAGTCGGGACATTGGTACTTTTTGAGTGAAAATAGCGGGATTCTTCCGTCAAAAGCGGGACATAGTAAAAAAACGTATACAATCAAAGGTTTTCAAATATTTATCTTTTTATTTGACTTAAAATTACGTTTACGTGACAATAGATAGCAAAAGTAGCCATAGAAAATGTATTTTAACAAAAAAAATAATATTATATTTTAAATCAGATTTACTCTATCGTTAAATTCGTCTTTAGAATAAAAAAAGGAAAATAAACCAAAATCGAAATAAAAAAATATTATTCTTTAGAATAATATGGCGTTTCAAACAATAGTCTGGTGAACTGAATGTCTCTCTCCGAAAAGCGGGACCGAGCCTGTCCCGCGCGGGACATTTAAATTTTATTTAAAAATCGGGACGTCCCGCCAAAATCGGGACGTCTGGCAACGCTGTTCAGAACGGACTACTATGCCGAGAGGTCCCGGGTTCGATTCCCGGTCGAGCAGAAATTGAAATGATGAATTTTAATTTCTGTGACGGGTCTGGGTGTTTTCTATGTATAATATGTATGTATTAAAAAAAAAAAGTATGTTTATATCCGTTGTCTAGTACCCATAGTAGGTACAAGCTTTGCTTAGTTTGGGGCTAGCGGCGCAGTGTAAAATGTCCAAGGATATTTATTATTATTATTCCTTTATTCATCTTACTTTCTTATTTTTAATTTTTTCTTTTTACAATGTAATTATTATCAAAAAAATAAAAATACATTGTAAAAACAAAAATCTTAAAAATATGTAGTTAACCCGCTGGCAGCGGAGCAGGGCCNCCTTATTTGTATCAAGTACCTTATAAGGAACATACAGACAGACAGACAGACAAAAATTTTACTGATTGCATTTTTGGCATCAGTATCGATCACTAATCACCTAGATAGTTATTTTGAAAATATATTTAATGTACAGAATTGACCTCTCTACAGATTTATTATAAGTACCTATAGATAAATGATGATTCTGATTCTGATTCTGATTCTGATTAGTTACGATACGAAAGGGCAGACTTCTAGAAAAACAAAAGACTACTCCGGATAAAAAGGTGATATCGCTAAACAGACTGACTGTACAGTTGCCTGGAAAATAAATTTTTAACGGCACTGTTCGTCTAAATTAGGTAAACATTAAAAAATCGCTAATCTAATTCTTTAGACTTTGACAAATCACGCCAAAAAAGAGGGCGGGTTGTTTATAAAAACCTAATTGCGTGTAAAAGCTTCCCCAAAACAAATTTGTCTTCTCGTATTTTCGCTATGCAGATTTAATTAATTTTGATGGATATGCGCCGCCCTCGGCTGCCGAAAATGGTTTAGAACTTACCTATCGACCAGGCAAGATGGTTATTATAGCACCTAGGTATACCTAGGTAGAGTTAAGAATGTCAAAGGATCGTTGGGATCTGTACGGCTAGCACGAAAAACTTTCGAGTTCGAATCGTTTGCGAATTCGAATTGCCATCAAAAGATTTAGTACGAAAACTACAACAGCGCCCTTGTGAACGTGTTGTAAAGTGAACTTAGTATGAGAAAAGGTTGCACGAAACTTATTTTGAGAATCAAAATTGTCACGTTATCGTTTAATTCGAAGGTTGAGTATCGAATTTTGTCGAATACACAAACGATTCGAAGACGAAAGTTGTTCA